CCCGCAAAGTAGTATTGGTAATTATTCAGGCTCCTAAATTACATACCTGAACCTCCAGGAGAATACCTACTCGCCAAAAAGGCAACATCGTAAGCACTTTTTCTGTCCGGACTGCTTGAGGTCTCTGCATCAAGCGCCACAGGGAGGCTTGATGGTGTGGATATGCACCCTAAACCCTAAACCCTGAAACCCTGAAACCCTAAACCCTAGACCCCAGGGTTCGTTACATGCAACCCTGTACTGGAATTTGAGGCTTTGCAGATATCATAGAGCTACCCCCTAAGCTTGCAGATATCATAGAATAGTGGGATTCTGACAAACCCTATACCCTAAACCCTAAGCTTGCAGATTTCCGCAATTTCTGGTGCTGGAGGGGGCGATTTTGGCCCTTGCGGCTGCGCCTCGAAGTTTCCAGGCCTCAGGCCAGAATCGAAAGTATGTTTATAGCATACTGTAGAGGCCTTAATAATAATTGGAGAGGGTTTGCGGTATATTATTACATTACAAATATAATAAGAAATCCCGGGAAAAAACTATTCTAATTATTAAAGTCCCTACGTTTTGGTGGTAGACTTAGTATAAGATAGAAAGAAAATGGTCTACTTTAATCTATCGTCGTGGTATTCTAGAGCATATCATGGTACATGACAGTATATGCTATCGTCTACTATAGTATATGGTACACTGAAGCATAGTGGTACACTGTGGTATACTAGTCTACTCTACTATTATCTATGATAGTTGGCCATTTCTGCCAGAATTGAGCTGAAGGCTACATTTGTCATTGGCTGAGTTGGAAGAAGCAGGTGTGCATTGGCAGAATGGACAGCAGCGTAGTTACAACCTGAAGAGTACCGTTCACGTTCGCCGAAGGATCGAGGTTAGTGCTGTGGTCGCCTCCAAGCAGAGTCAGCCCCGGAATTGCCGCAACGATACTTGCAACCAGTGATACGATGAAACGAAGAACCTTTTGCTTGACAGCTGGCTCAGGCAAAACCCGGGACTGTAAGGTCCGAGAGTAATCAGCCATGGGCTCGAGACCGTGCGCTTCGACCCCGACGAAAGCGAACACCGAATGAAGCGTCAGGGGTTGTATTGTATCATACATATATATATATATACATACACATTATATATATATATATATCTAT